GCAAGGTCCGAAAGTGATTAATCTTATGAAATATGATGCATTAAAAAATGATTACATGAAACAGTGTAAATGAAAAATAATGTGAAACACAATGTATATCGAACTTTGTAAGCAAACCAATTAGAAAGTGAGAATGGTGAAAAAAAAAATAGATTTGATGCATTGAATGTTAATAGCCAAAGAGCAGATGAGTTGTGGGATGATATGAAGGACTTCATCCACAAAGAAAGGAAAAGGTCATTACAAAGCCAGGGAAGAAAGGACCAAAATGGATGAAATAAGACCCTGAAATTTGCTATTCAATGTAGAGAAGCTAAAACAAAGGACAAAAATGATTACCATGAAAGCTGAATAGAAGATTGCAAAGGGAAGCTCAATAAGACCAAGTATTTTAACAAAATGTGCAAACAATTAGTATTAGAAAACCAAGAGGGAAGAAGCACTCAGCACTTCTCAAGCTGAAAGAACTAAAAAGCAAATTCAAGCCTTGAGTTTCAATACTGAAGGATTCTATGGACAAATCTTGAATGATTGGGAAGCATGAAAGAAGATGAAAGGAATGCACAATCACAGTATCAAAAAGAGTTGGTTAACACAGAATCATTTCAGGGCATTTCATCTGATTAAGAACCAGGTGCTGAGGAAGAAGGCGCACTGAAAGCACTGGCAAGAATAAAGTTCCAGGAATAGAGAGAATAGCAAATGAGATGATTCTGCAAACAGAAATTTCAGACAGCTACTTGGCTACAGAGAGAGATCCATATTTATTCCATTCCAAATAAAGAGGCTATACAACAGAATCGATCACAATATCATTAATATAACAGGCAAGTAAAATCTTGCTGAAGATTATTTAAAAATGCCTAGAACAGAACATCAAGGAACTGGCAGAAATGCAAGCTGGATTCAGAAAAGGCTGTGGAACAAGGGATATCACTGCTCATGATCCATGGATCCATGCACAACCTGTAGACCAAGAAACAGTCCTTCAAACAAAGAGGACACTGGTTAAAATCAGGAAAGCTGTGGGAGATTGCTGTATCTTATCTCCATTTCTATTCCACTTGTATGCTAAACAAATAATGTCCGATGCTAGGCTATATGAGGAAGAACGTGGTATCAGGATTGGAAGAAGAGTCATTAACAACTTACACAAATGACACAGCCTTGCTTGCACAGTAAGATGACTAAGAATTTATTGAAGAAAACTCAAAAGACTACAGACTTCAATCTAGATCACACCTCAATAGAAAGAAAAACATAAGTTCTCACAACTAGACCAATAGGCAACATCAAGAGAGGGGGAGGAAAGACTGAGGCAGTCAAGGCTTTCACTCTACCTGGAACCATGATCAACTGCTGTCTCCCATAAGTTGTGGTACGTGCTTTATCTTAACAACAACAAAAAAGTTTATTTTCTTTGTGAGTTCTTTTTTACTTAATGGTTATTTAAGAATATGTTTTTAAAGTTTCTTGTCTTTGAAGTTTCCAGATTTTCTAGAAGGAAAATTACTGATTTTTTAAAAATTTTGTTAATTTTAATGAACATTTACAGACATTTTGGATTTCCATTTATTCATTGTTGCATTTTTCTCCCTGCCCACCCCTCCCCCACCCAGTTCACTCTTCTCTTTGAAAAATAAAATTCCTTCATTGGTATACAATTCCCCCCGCCCCTCCAGGTGCACTCCACTATGCTAGCTTCATGTGGAGAGACCGTATTCTATGTGATTTCTTTTGACACTTACTGACACTTGCTTTGTGGTTTACTATATGGTCTACCTGTAGAATGCGCCATGGCTTTTGAGAACAAAGTGTATTCTATCATCATTGCGTGAAGTATCTCAATAGGCATCTGCCTAGTTGGTCTGTACTATTTCCTTGGTTCCAGTTGTTCTACTCATTTTTTTCAAAACTAACTTGTAGATGCTAAGTAGAATTACATTTCTCACTTCAATAATTCTGCTTCTCTTCATGTGTTTTAGAGTTCAGTTACAGGTATGTGTATTTTTATATGTGTTATATCTTTGTTATGGGTTGATTCTTGTATTACTATACATTGTCCTCTTTTGTCTCTTTAGCCACCAGGTTCTCATTGTGAAGACTGGAGAATAAGGTCTCTCACAATTCAGATATGGTTCAGGAGAAAAGTAACCATACTGAAATACACCCAAACTCTTCTGCTTTCCTTAACACTGACCAGGGAAAACAGGTAAATGGAATAAGTCATATCTGCTAAAGAAGTCAAACAATAACCTTCCAAACACACAAAGTACCAGACCCAGAGGGTGTTTCACTGGTGAATTCTACCAAAAATTAAATTTCACAAATTCTTTTTTAAATTATTTATGTGTTTCTTTTTTCTTAATTTTAATGAAAGTTTACAGAGACTTTGAGTTTCCATTCATTCCCTTCCCGTTTGCTCTTCTCTCTGAAAAGTAAAAAAAAAATATTCTTTCATTGCTCTATAATCCCTCCCCCCAGGTCCACTTCACTATGTAGCCTTTGTTCTGAACTCCTGTCATGACAATAATACCTAATCATATATCCCTTTTAAAGAGCTCCCTCCCTCATCTGTTTCAATGCAGTATACATAATTTATCCCATCTTTCTCAGTCTTCCCCAAACCTGATGTCAGTCCTGTTTTACAACAGTGGCACTATACAGTATTTGTCCTTTTGTGACTCAGCATAATGTCCTCCACGGTCACCCATTTTATATATTTTATGAGTTCCTTGTTTTTCAATGCAGCGCAGTATTCCACTGTGTGAATATACCACAATTTCTCTATCCATTGTTTAGTTGATGGGCACTTGGGTTGTTTTCAACTCTTTGCTATTGTGAACAAAGCTGCGATAAACATGGATGGGCATATATCTGCTTGGGTGGCAGTTATGGTCTTTTTGAGGTATATTCTCAGTAGTGGAATTGCTGGGTCAAATGGTATTTCTATTTCGAACTTTTTGAGAAAGCGCCATACTGCCTTCCATAGTGGTTGCACCATTTTACACTCCCACCAACCATGAATAAGAGTTTCAGTTTCTCCACAATCTTGCCAGCATGTGTTGTTTGCCGTTCTGTTAAATTTTGCTATTTTTACTGGGGTGAGATGATATCTCATAGTTGTTTTGAAAATTACACAAATTCTTAAAAATCTTTTTGAGGAAACAGAAACAGAGGAAACATTTCCCAATCATCCAATGAGGCCAACCCTAACGCCTTCTACTGTGCATGTCATCAAACTCATTCTCAAGTTCACACCAGAGGCAAAAAACTGAGAATAGTTAATACAATATAAAGGAAGAACAAAGTTAACGGACCAACATGAGCTGATATCAAAGCTTACTACAAAGAGACAATGAATAATTTCTGTGCAATTTTTGTTTTAAAACCTCAAACTGATCTAAGAAAATAAAGTATGCTTTAAAAGCTTATAAAAGGAGGAAGAAAAAAAACCACAACATCACAATCTAAAGAGTTTAATATTTGAGAAAAACAAGTAAAAACAATTTTTTAAGAAAACAAAGGCATACACCAAGTAAGACAGCAATTTTTTCACTGTACAAATAAATTATGTAAAATCAAGCTTTTGATTTATATCCTACTTTATTTTCTATTTTTAATACATCACATCTATTCATTAAAGGGAAAAGTCTGGAAGTATGGATTTGTAGCAAAATAGATGAGAAATCATTTCTTTGGAACCAAGAGAATCATACAAAGAATGACAAACTACAGAGAGACAACTAGGCTATATTCTAGAAAAACCAACATAAGTAGCATATTTTATCATCTAATAAAAATATTAATTTTGTTATCACTTTAAAAAATATTTCAAACTATAGTTTTTTTAATTTTTTCTTGTGCCTCAGTCTTCTCATCCATCATTTAGGGACCTATCCTTTATGTGTGGGAAAGAGACAATCTCCTCCTGTGTAATTTACTGTCTTTTAAAATCCACTGGAGGGTCTGCTATGAGTTGGTTCTGACTTAACATACACAACAACACCCCTTTAGGTACATTAATCATTAAGATATTTCATTACTAAGACTTATTCTAGAAATCTTAGTCGCTTCAAACACACTGAGATTTCTGATGATAACTTTTAAATCTCTTTCATGGTGAAGTTCTAAAATCAGAGCCCAAACCACTTTGTGAGGGGTCTCCACCGACACGTTCAGTGCTGTCCTGGCAGCTTTTCCTCCACTGCTGGAGAAGATCACTATTTTGAGCACCAGCTCAACCTGTAGATAGATGACTGGATCTGAAGAGGACACTGTATCATGTACAACCAATACAGCACATTAGACACTTGATTTACACACAGACCTGGTTGCTCACACTATGAAAAGACCTGTGTTGACAGCGTTGAATTTCACTGTGCATTCAGCCTAGGGTAAACAGAGTGGAACCCAGTCCATGTAAATGATTTCTTTCTGTCTTTTTTGTATTTGTATTTGACAGGGCGCAAAAATGTGTATAAATGTGTCAAACTCAGGACTCAGGGTCAACAGAAAGGCAAGCCGCAGTCTTGCACGGGTCCACGTTCTGCTGCTATGTTTACCTCTCATAACCCACACAGGGCGTTTGTTCTGGGGCAGAGAGATCGCTGGGCTCCACAAAGTTACTATGCATGTCTATGCAGATTCACAGCTAATAAGGAAGCAAATGAATCTTTAGACAGAGTCACTTACCTGGCCAAATGCTAAACACTACTACTGGTCTTTATTTGGACAAATGTCTAAAGTACTGTTAATTTATAAACAGTCTTGTTGAAAAAATTAAAAGGAGAAAGCTTTTTAAACCTCTCTCATACTACCTTCCCCAGAACAGAGGGGAATCTGTGTAGGGCTGGAGAGGTGGATGGGGAGGAACAGAGTATTTCTGGCCCAGACAGAGAGAGCAGCCCCGTCACTTTTCTTACATGCTACTGCGGCCAGAGCAGTTGCCGTGGCTTACAGTTTTAGGACGCGAGGACTGACAGGATAGATGGTTTGGGTAACACAGTCAGTAAGGCAATCAGGAGAGAAGCGTCTGCACTTGCTGGGGCGTCCGCTGTAGAAGGGTCTCGGGCTCCTTGTAGCCGCTGGCTGGGTTCATCACGGCTGAGTGCACTTCTCCGTATGCTCGGCACACTAACTCGGTCGACTGCTTGATGATCTGCTCCCTGGTGACACAAGCAAGCAACGTGTGAGCACATGACCTCAAGGGAAAACGTCCCCTGACAATTCCGGGGAAGCTTCAACTATGGACTCGCTTGTTCATTTTCACAACCACCACACCGACCCTATTTAAACACCAGTGCAAAACTACAGGAGTTACTTATCTCCAGAAGAATACACTGTGGTGGTGTTTATCATGTATGCAGTTACAGGGCTTGGTTGACACTGAATGCGTTGGCGGGTGCAATGACTGGCGCATGGTGGAGTTCTAAACAAGCAGCAGTAACTAGGACCTCTCATCGATGACGTGATTTTGTAAAAGTGACTGATCACACATTGATTGACCTTACACTAACCACCACACCTGCTAGGTTCCTCTTCATCCCTAAATTGTGTGGCTAAAAACGTGTACAGCATTTGCCTATGAGTCACAACATTCTCGTGAATTCACATTACTATATGTGGTTCCATAAGGGAGCACTAGTGGCCCACTGAGTGCACTGCAATCCTGAAGGCACAAGGTTCGAGGCCACCAGCTGCTCTGAGGGAGATGGACGGGCAATTTCCTACAGTGTCATCAACCACATCTATATACCCATCAGAGGGTCAGCTATAGGTCCATTAAAACTTTACAGTACAGAACAATTTACGTGGTAACATGAGTGTACTGTTCAAATGGCCTTCCTAGCCACGGACCTTGGCCTTCATCATGTGCATGCCACACTGCCCCCAGCTACAACTATTCATAGACTGCTATACTTAGATGCCAACACCAGTTTTCTGATTCTTAATAAAACTCAATAAAAATATACCCTTCAAACTTTACTTCCAAATCTACTTTTGTTTTGGTTTTCCTTTATTTTTTTTTTTCTTTTTTGGCAACCCATGGATATTGAATTGTGGTGAAAGTTACACAATAGTTTAGATTAACCAGCGAAAAAATATCTGTCTTGTGCAGTGTGCTCTTTTAAGAACAACTGATATGGAACAAGTTAGCAAATGCAACAACAGCCGTTTAGATAGAAAGGGTGGAGTGCTTATGAGAATAGAGAAGAATCATTTTGAAGAGGAGGTTGAAAATTCTAGAAATTGAACAAAAGCAATATCACTGATTTGTAAATTCAAGTGTCGCTGAATTAGTGTGTGCTCTAAGATAGATGACAGATAGATAGATAGATAGATAGATAGATAGATAGATAGATAGATAGATAGATAGATATGTATAGAGAGATAGAAAGACAGAGACAGAGAAAGAGATTCTCAACAACCCAAAATGGGTTTTTTTTAAAAAAAATGGTGTATTAAAATAGGTTAGATATAAAATTCGGTACTGCCCTACAGAGTAATAAGAACTTTAACTTCTGGGGATATGTCTTCTACCAGAAAGAAATCTACCCAATAAACTTCACAGATTTGAGGACAAAAATAAATAGTAAAGAGAGACTCAAACTAAGGTACATTACAACAATAACTGGATGGACCTGTTTAGTAATGTTTCATTACGACAGTAAGAGGACAAACTGTTCTCCCAAGACCCTTTTTGCCTTATTGTCAAGTTTTGCACATTTTTCTCAACAATTCTTACAGTTAGAAGACAGTCTGAGGATGGTAGAGAACAAGGCAGCGTTTCATTCTGTGTACATAATAATCATGTGCTAAATTACTACTAGAAAAAAAACAACTGAAGGGGTTAACCATCAGCCTGCAATGTACATTTTTAAAAATTATTTTTTTATTTTATATTGGTTGCATATGAAATTCATATACACTATGTTTCATTTATATACATTGTGTTCCACACATTCCTCTATTCACACTGTATTTTACACTATCATTCTCATACACTGTGTTTTGTAAAATTAATCACCATTAATCCATGCCCACTATTATCAGGTCCCCACTGGAGCTTTACTAATTCTGTCACCTCCTCCCGCTGCCCACCAACCTCTGCAACCTCGTGAATTCCTTCCTCCCCACCTTCAGTCCCCCTCCTGCCTCCCCTCTGCCCTTTTGACTTTTGTACACATCATACTAGTAATCCTATTTTTACAATAATGGTCTTATGCAGTATTTATCCTAATAAGACTGAGTTAGTTCATTCAACATAATGCTCTCCAGGCTCTCTCATTTTACACAGTGTTTTTTAAATGACTACTCCTGAGTGCTGCATCATATTCCATAGTGTGAATGTACCAGTTTCTTAATCCATTCAGTTTGCAGATGGATGTTTAGCTGTTTCCCTTTGTTTGCTATTTTAAATAATACTCAATTTGTCCAGTTAAAACTGTAATGTTGCAATAACGTGTATAAACTCCTTCAATTTTAATAAAGATGAATGCATTACTAAATGAAAACAATGTCATTCTCATTTTAAGACGCACTCTGTGAAGTTAATTAATTGTATTTTAAATAATTATCTCAAGCACTGAGCTGTGATAAGAAATGAACCCCTTGCTTCCAGAATCATCGAGCATGTCATTAGTCAGTACTTAGGATTTTTTGGTTACCATAACAACATGATACAACTTTTATAATCACCAGAAACCCAGCATTTCTAAAAACGGCTATTTTAACACTCATCAGGTTCTGTTATCATTAAAAATGGAGCTTTCTTCCAGCACCACAGATTGCACAACCGTGAAATCAAATGCACCACAGGAGAGAAAGTGTTAACAATTCAAGCCTGAGACACGAAGAACCAAAGACAGTCGTGGACTAAGAGGCAACTGTTGTTGTCGTTGACTGCCATCGAGTCGAGCATCACAGTACCCTATGAACAAAAGACCTGAAGCCTCTCTATAACCATCGTTTTTCTCAGTTTCCAGAGAGGCATGTTGTATAGGAAGTCAATGCCACTCCTTTAAAGAATGCACATTTGATTCCTTTTTTTCACAGTATCAGAAATACAATAATGGGTCAACATTTCACAGTGCATACGTACATCTTCTTGGGATCTAAGGCATATCCCAAACATCTCTGAGCTTCCTTTAAAAAGCATAACGTAATTTCTACAGATGAAGTGTTAAAAATACAGCGCTACTGAATGTTCAGGAGCACAGTCTCTGCCATCAGAGACACTGAAGGCAAACCTTGGCTCTGCTTCTTACTAATGGCTTGACCTTCGTTCAATGACATCATCTTTCTCTGCAATGACCTCTTATACAATGCAGAACCTAACACTTGAGAGCATTACATAAGACAATCCATGAAACGACCATGGTGCATGACACAGGCAGGAAGGGTGGGCTCACTGTGATCAGTCACCACTGATGGCCACGTGAGCCACAGTCCCACTGATGGGGATGTTCTAGAGTGATCACAGCCCCTTCTCACATTGATATATATGCAATGAGATGATTCTAAGAGGATTTTCATTGGACTTGTATTGAATTTACAGCTTAACCTTTGCCACTAGTGATCTTTCCCACCAAGGAACAGGGTGGATGTTTTTGTGTACCACAGAGTTGGAAGTGACCCAAAGCTGACCCTCCAGTGGGTTTTCAGAGGCGGTTAATCTTATGAGAGAGGACTGGCCAACTTTTTCCTGCTGAGCAGCTGGTGGACTTGAACCATGTACATTTACACTGGCAGTGTAATTCCTTACCACTAAGTCCCCAGAGCTCCATAAGGAACAGGGTAAGACCTATTTATTCAGGTCTTTTGGGGTTTTCTTTGGGCTTCACAAAAAAATTTTACACTTTCTTCCACCAGAACTACATACATAGATCTCTAATGATAAATCTCCTAAACCTGAAAGAAAAAAAATTAAAAAAAAAAAAAAAAAAAAAAAAAAACCCACCAAAAAAACAAAGCACCACATCAAAATTCTCCTAGGAAATTATCTGACATTGAAAAATATGTGAGTCTTTACCAACCATGAAACCAAGACACTCACTTCACTGTGGCACTGAGAAGAAAATTCAGCTGTGGCATCAACAGATTGTCTGGAGCTGCCAGGTATCGATCAAACTGAGCCTGAAAGAAACAGAAATGCAAAGTATAAAGCACGTATAATATTCACAAATAACTTTTTTTTGCAGAATTATTGGCCTTTTTTATTGTGTTCATTAATTTGCTGTATTTCAACATCGGTGGGGTTTTTAAAAATTTTTCTATCAGTCTATTTACAAAATTCTAATATATTGTTTTTAGCTCGTTTAAGGATTAAATCTCAGGGGGAAAAGAACTGACAATCTGAATTAGTAGTTGATTGTGTTATTAAATGAGATTTCTGTAGATATCCTAACTAAAACTGTTAATTTAGCAGAACTTAAAAAACTACAAATTCGACCCACGAATGCTAATCTCTCTCTTCAAGCTTGGGATCTGTATGAACAAAATTTCTTAATATTCTGAGTCTACTTTTCTTTCTTGCATCAACTGTATTTATTCACTCATCCATTCATTTGACTAATATTTACTGAGTAGCTACCATTTGAAAGGTACTGTGTTAGGTAAAAGTACTACAATAATGAACAAAGAAACCACAGTCAATAGACTCACAGAGTACCGGTATGGTTGAGTAAAAGGAGTATTTAAACAAATGATAGGACTATATCATTACAAAATGTTCAATGGCTATGAAAAAAAAATCAAGGTAAAGGTCAAACTGGGGGAAATCTGACCTAGGCTTGTGGGTTAGAAAAGCATCCTGAGAAAAGGACATTAGAGGTGAGATATTAGAGGTGAATTAACTAACAGAGGGAGAGTTTTTGAGGTGTAGGTGACAGCATGATAAAGGTGTGAGAAAGACTTCAACCTGTATCAATAAAAGTATTAGGACATCATTAAAGTAAGGGAGTGTCTAAAGAGCAGTAAATGGAACATGGGGACACAGGGCCACTGAGTGTCTCTGAAAGGGCCAGAGGAAGTGAAAATTGCACAGCCCCTCAACATCCCAGAGCAAAAAGCAGATAAAGGTCCTGCAGCCCAGCCCCAAGGTACCTCTATAGCCACACCAGTACCAACAGGTTTGATAGGCATTGTTGACTCGACTCTACTCACAGTTGTGGTACCAAGAGTGTGCAGTTTTTCAGGGAAGTAAGTGGGGGAGGACTATCTCACTATTCAAGTCCAGGTTTAGTGCAGGAGTCCCAAGCCAGATTAACAGCAAAATACAATTCTGTACTTAGTAATACTAAGTCCCAGTTCAGTTCTGTAGCATAAATTCAAGAAGCCTCTGGTTTCCTTAATCATCCAGCAAGTTTTGCCTCAGAACAGTTATGTCAGCTTCTCCTTCAAGAATCTGGCAAACAACACTTAACTGGGGCCAGCACAAATGCAAGAAGCCTCAGATTGCAGCTTGCCACAGTCTCTCCACCATCACGAGGGTCTCACCAGTAGGATTTCACTCTCACCAGGGTCTTGCTCCAGTCTCCCTGAAATTTTGCTGCCCAGATCTCTCTCTTTTATCCTGGTCCCACAGCTGTTAATGATTTGCAAGATCATATGTCTGTAGTTAAGACAGCTGGAGACTAGAGGATTTCAAGGCAATAGCTAAAAAAAGTGAACTTTTTTTTTTTTTTAAAAAGCTAACTTTTAAGCCAACACCACAGAGAGCAATATAACTTAATTTGTTAGTTTACCTGGCAGATTTAAAAGATTAACCAGAGTTTCTAATCCTTCAAAAATATTAATGATTACACTTCAAAGTCTTGAGCAAAGAGTATCCACAATTATTCAGTGTTGGAAGTCAAGAGTGAAGGTAGTTTTTCTGATACCTCCCTCAATTAAATTCAGCCTTGTGACATAACGTGTAGGAAAGCTCTGGCATCCTTTGTACAGAGGTGTCAAACTACTATTCACATGTTGCAATGTTTTTAATGTTTAGGCTAAGCTGTACTGTATATAATGAAGAACACAGGTTCTAGCTGCAGACTTCCTGGTGTTGTCATGAGAACTAGACTTAATATATAGAGAATATTTGGAAAGCTCACATGTTAATGGTGGCTGTCATGGTGGATATTATTACTACTATGTAATAGGAATAGTATTGTAACATTTAGAAAGTGGATCATTAAAATGAAAGATAAATGTTAAACTCAATGGCATAGCTATCATCCAATTCTAGAGTGTATGTATACACATAAAGTATATATTTAATATGTTGTTGTTGTTGTTGTTGTTTGTGCCATGGAGTCGGAATGACTCACAGCTGACACTTCAGCAAGTTTTCAGAGGAAATTTCATCATAGAGAAGGAGACAGGCCGACTGGCCATCCTTCTCCCACAGAGCAGCTGTCGATTTTGAACCGTGGGGTTTTGGGATGGTGGTGCAGATTGTTACCACTCTAGGACACCAGAGCTTCTGATATATTTCATGTACTAGACATAAATATACTAAAAAAAAAGTAATGCTTATGCAATACAAGATCCACATTTTAAAAGAAGATACTCTTGAATCTCACATTAAAGATTAACATACTCTATGACTATGACTAGAACTGGAGCTTCCAGTTGTTAAACAGGTTTGGAAGCAGGAGTGGCATCCACTTCCTAAACCATATTCCTCTGGAAACTCTATATGAACTTGGGAGAAAAAATGATAGCTATGAAAACACATAAGGTCTTTTGTTCACAAAGTGGCTATGAGTCTACCTGGACTCAAGGGCAATCAACAACAACATGACTAGAATGCAATTTCAGTTATTATTTCAAGAACTCAAGAAGCATAAAACAAATATCATGGCAATATGAAGTCTATAATAATATATAAAAATATCATG